AAGATGTGACACCTGGTCATCCTAATGAAATGACGTGTTTGGTCACAAGATATTTCTGTCCAATCCCTACTAACTGAAACAGGCTGAGTGTGATTTTTCTGTGGCTGAGATTGGCTCACTCGTTTAAAATTAAATCACAGCATTCAGCAGCACCCTTTGGGTTTATCAACCTGAAGGGGAGATTTCCAGCAGCTACCAGAGACCTGCTCTCACCTGCATCTTGTTCTGTTTTAAGAAGATATGGTGAAGATATCAGGGGATATAATCAAACTCCAGATGCGTTTTGACAGCCCTAGACTTTCTCTACCAAGGAGAAATTCAACAGGGCCACAGACAAACCGCATCTGTTCAGGACAAAGTAGATTGGGTTTTCAAATGACCTGAGTGTGAAACAATGAAAGAAGGTAGTTGATGGTGTGTCAGCGGTGTGCTACATCTGCCAAAAGGGCTGATGTGATATGAGGCCACATTAAGAGAAACGGTGTCGAGAGTGAGGGTGGTGATAGACTGCCCTTCTTGTTCCTTGTCAGACTGCGCCTGGAGGGTACATTCCAATCAACTGGAATATGTTCAGAGGCAAACAAAACCATAGTGAGGGGACCTGAAGCAGTGGAGAGAATAGCTGAAAACTAGATTTAACATAAAGAAGAGAAGCCACGGGGTTTCTGAAATGCTGTCTTCCAATACTTGAAGCCACACATGTGGAATTAACAGATGCTCCCTAAGTAAGCCCTCAAGGTCTGCAGCTATCATGTTTTGCTGACATGTTTAACTCCACGTCTTAAGTCCAGATCACTCTTTGAGGCTCTATCTGTCCATTCAGTCAGAGACCTGGGAGGCCTCCTTACCCCTCTCCCCTACATTCATTTTGCCCCTAAGTCTTGTTACTTCAACCCTGCCTCCAAATGCCTCCCTAGTCTGCCTTCTCTTCTTCTATCTTGTTTTCTACAGTAATGTCAACTCACTTCCCCAGTTCCACCACACACCATACACAGTGATCTTTCTAAAACACAGGCTCCATTGTGTTACTCCCCTGCCTAAAACCCTCTAAAGGCCTCTCTGTTGCCTTCATAAATCTAAATTCTTTCTTTTTGGCTGTACCTAACAACTTGAGGGATCTTAGTTCCCTGACCAGGGATTGAACCCGGGCCCTAGGCAGTGAAAGTGCTGAGTCCTACCACTGGACGGCCAGGCAATTCTTGAATGTTGCATCTGAGGCCTTCCACGACCCTGTCCATGGCTACCTCTCCATCCTCCATTCCTGCCACTGACCAGTAACTCCCAGTAAGAGGTTTCCTGTGCTCTTCCTCCAGTTTTTGCCTCTGCCTTTGCTCATTCTGACCTTTCTGTGTCATACCCCATTTTGCTCTTCTTGCCTCATCTGATTTTTCCTTGTTTTTCAAAATAAAGCTACAGAAACCCTTCTACTATTAGGCTTGGCTGAGAATCACTGCAAGGCATTTTCATGGTGCCTCATGCCTGCTCCAGTCATTAATAGCACATGAGATAGGGATGCTCCCCTCTGGGCCCTGTGACTTATCTATGGGCATCTCCAGGGCCTCTTCCTGAATCAACCCTGAATATTCACTGGAAGGACTGATGCTGAAGCTGAAGCTCCAATACTTTGGCCACCTGATGCAAAGAGTTGACTCATTAGAAAAGACCCTGATGCTGGGAAAGATTGAAGGCAGGAGCAGAAGCGGGAGACAGAGGACAAGATGGCTGGATGGCATCACTGACTCAATGCACATGAGTCTGAGCAAGCTCCAGGAGATGGTGAGGGACAGGGAAGCCTAGCGTGCCACAGTCCATGGGGTCACAAAGAGACACGACTTAGCGACTGAACACCGATAATCAGGCCCTTTTCCAGTGCCAGTCACACAGGTGCAGGAGCGGACCTGAGCACATAAGAGTGCCACCTGTGTTTCAGTGCCCCTTCGCCTCTCCACTCACTGCGCCATTGGCTTGGGCTTTCACATCCTCAGTTGCTCTGGGTGTGGCGGGGTCTTCTCTGACATTTCCCTGACAACCCTTCACTTAGATTAATGAACATCCTCAATCCTTAGCCCAGTGAAACCTTCCAGATGTTATCTGCACCTGCCTTTCCACCTCCAACACACTATGCCATTTGGGAGGCCACTGGACATTCCTGGAGATGCACCTTGAGCTGATTTTCCTTTTCACCCAAGGATCATTTTCCGAGCAGCATCAAGTGTTTCTAGTTGGGGCAGTTTGGCACCCTGGACCTATTTTCCCTGGAAGAAGAGGGCTGCTGGCAATCCCTGACTCTCCAGAGCTATTGGCATCTGAGTGAATGGTAGCTGTCATTACCAGCATATGGATGTGCACACGTGTAGATGCCTCTAATTTCTCTGCTGCTCTGATAATCCTACAGTGCAGAGACCCCGAGGCTGCCCACCTTGGATGGCCCTCCTTTCATACAGGCACGAGGAGAAACCTTCAGCTTGGAGGAGGGACACACCTGTAACATGAGAGGCTCTGTCAATATCCCCCTGCCTCCTCTCTCTCTCCACGTGGGGATGGTGCTTACAAAACACTGGTTCAGACACTAACCCTGGTGGTTATGATCTATCTGCTCTGAAAGACAAGGGAGAGTTTTTAGGGAGCAGAGCCACAGTCATGCACAAGGGGTGCACTCTAGCATTTACCAGAAGATGTCGCTGTTGGCTTAAATCAGTAAAACAAATGTGGGCTGGAGGACTGTCAACTGAGCATGAAGGTGACTCCATCATGGAGCTTTTAAACACCCATTTATAATGCATGCCTGGAAAAGCTGGTTGAAAGACTAATCCAAGCGTGTCACTGGTCTTCATAAATTTCTTTTTTCTCCAAATAATCAGACTAATTGCCATGAAGCTGTGGCCTCAGGCCTAGCATGAAGGCTTAATAAATCTACCAAAGGAGTGAGTGAATGAATGAATACCAAAGCAAGGAATAGAAGTTCGGAGCCCATGGGAACAACAGTCACCTTTGTTGGTCAAGGCTTACTGGGGAAGAAAAGCTGCTCGTTGTTAGCAATGGGTCTTTACAGAAATGAATTTGAGTGGCCGCAGCCAGGCAAAAGAGTGAGGCCAGTCAATGTGGGTTTGCCACCCCTCCAGCCTCACTCCAAGATGCTTCTCTTGTGTCCATGCTAGTTCACTCCACAATATCATAGAAGGTGATATTTTAAATTTTTTATGGTTTTTGCCAGTCACTTAGATTATCCAGAGTTTTTAATATGATGAGACATGACCTTCCCAGTTCCCATCTCTCTCCTTCTTCTTCCCTGGGATAGTTCATTAAAGAAGTAATTAGAGGAGTTACTGGGATTCTGTTCTGTGTCTAGTACAACACTGAAAAGGGTGAGATGAGAGCTAAAGAAGAATATGTAGAGTTCTTGTCGCAGAACACCTCCTTTAAACAGAAATACAAACAAAAAATTGCCATTCAGTATCAAAAATATTTCAGCAAAGGTTAACTGTGGAAGTGTCACTGAAGAAGAGGTGAAGACTGGCAGCAGGAGTGGGATAAATTTTCTCAGTGGAGAGATCATACTTGGACTGGAAATTGCAGGATGCCTAGAATTTTCCAGTTAAAGAAGGAAGGTTATGCCAGGCAGAGGGAACACCATGAATAGAAGAGAAGCACACAGGATATAGATCCCAGGGTGCCTGCATTGCTCAGAGCCCAAGACTTGGGAGGAATGTTTGTTCAGAGGACATCAGGCAGCAGACCTAGCCAGTCGGGTGCTTGACTTGGTTCTATCTGGCTCCTCTTCCTGGGTGCAGAAGCAGCATCCCTCAGGTGGGAATGAATAAACTTCAGGAAAGCTACAAGCCATTCGCCAGGTTTCCTTGAAGAAACTAATGTTAATATTCAGTGTTTATTGTCATCTTCCTTCCACAATAAGCCCATCCATGACCTCACCCTTCATCCGCTGAACCTGAGTGGAAGCTCATTTCTTAATTAAAGTACAGCTGCAAAGTTGTTTCTCCCTTGATCACATCATAAGCCAGGATGCTTCTGCTCTGTGTGTGTGTGTGTGTGTGAGTGAGTGTGAGTGCACCTGCTCTGTATGGGTGTGTGTGGGTGTGCGGTTTAAATGTTTACTAGTCTGCTATGTGAGCAAAGAACTCATCAGTTTGCAGCTTTAAAGTGAAGACAGTAAAAATAAATGAATAAATAAATAAAGTGAAGACAGTAACACAGCTAAGCCTCCATACATGCTGACATCCAGGTGGCCTTTCAGTGGGTAAATAAAAAGGGTATTTTGGAACTGATCAAGTTAACTTGCCTCTGCTGGGAATATCAGCACGTGAGTGAAGGCTGAAACCGAGGTAGTAACTTATATATATGCCATTGGCAGCTCCCATGTCTATTTCAGTCGGTGACTAACCACAATGTTTATTTCTGGAGGCTCCGGGCTGCACTGCGTATCTTCACATTCCACTGCCATCACGTAGGAGCCATGATGTTATGACAGCAGCCAGAATCAAAAGCATCATATCAGACACTCTTTCAACAAGGTTTTGTTCATAAGATATCCTGATTAGACTAGATATTAGAAGAATGCTTTTGTGAGAAAGATTAGAACTTGAGCACTTGTCAACCTCATATCACTTCAGTAAAATCATTCATTTCCATTGAGTCTCCATTTCATGATCAGTTAATGGGAGTTTGGGAGTGGGGAGTATGAAATGAATGAGGTCATTGGGAGGACATTGTCACTAGTTGGAGAGAGAGAAACAGGGGGAATGAGGAAGGGGGAGCGGCCTTTCCGCCCGATGTATATGCTTTAAAAAGGAGCTCTCTGGACAGGCTAGTGGGACTCACAGAGGGGACAAGAGCACAGTCCACAGGACAGCTGCCACCAGATTGCCATCATTTTACTTTGGCCTCGCTTCCTGACCAGTGAACATCACATATGCCATGCCCCTCCCCGACTCCACCTATGTCAGCCACAGCCCTGACCACTGGCCTTTGTGCTTTGTCCATAGGAACTTCCACTACATCACCATCCTCCGCGACCCAGTGTCCCGGTACCTGAGTGAGTGGAGGCATGTCCAGAGGGGGGCAACATGGAAGGCGTCCCTCCACGTCTGCGACGGCAGGCCCCCAACTTCTGAAGAGCTGCCCAGCTGCTATACTGGAGACGACTGGTCTGGCTGCCCCCTGAAAGAGTTCATGGACTGTCCCTATAACCTAGCCAACAACCGCCAGGTGCGCATGCTATCCGACCTCACACTCGTTGGCTGCTACAACCTGTCGGTCATGCCCGAAAAGCAGAGGAACAAGGTCCTCCTGGAAAGTGCCAAATCCAATCTGAAGCACATGGCGTTCTTCGGCCTCACTGAATTTCAGCGGAAGACCCAGTATCTGTTTGAGAAAACCTTCAACATGAACTTTATTTCTCCTTTTACCCAGTATAACACCACTAGGGCCTCTAGCGTAGAAATCAATGAGGAACTCCAAAAACGTATTGAGGGACTGAACTTTCTGGATATGGAATTGTACAGCTACGCAAAAGATCTCTTTTTGCAAAGGTATCAGTTTATGAGGCAGAAGGAGCATCAGGAAGCTAGACGGAAGCGTCAGGAACAACGCAAATTTCTGAAGGGACGGTTCCTTCAGACCCATTACCAGACCCAGAGTCAGGGCCAGAACCCAAATCCGAGTCAGAATCCGAGTCAGAACCCAAACCTGAATGCTAGTCAGAGTGGGACTCAGAATCTGTTTCAGAATCTGATTCAGAATCTGACTCAGAGCTCGGGTCAGAATCCAAATCCAAAGGAGAACCAGGAAAGCCAGAAGCAGAATCCAGGCCAAGCGCAGAGTGATGGCAGCACCAGCAATGGCACCCATGACTATATAGGCAGCGTAGAGAAATGGCGCTAAGTGGCCCCCAAGTTTCACACACTTCTCCCAAAGCGCCAGTCAAAATAGGCCAATCCTCAAACATGAGACCGTCCAAACACATCCTGCTTCCTAAAGTTTGGAAGTTCAAAAGAGTTAAGATGTCGCCTTTACAGTTGCCTTTCAATTCAGTGTTCTACTGTGCGTGGGTAAAACAAATTTCAATATGTAATTAAATTGCCTTTTTTTTTTTTTGGTTTGTTGGAGTATTTATAAAATCCAAAAGCCAAACCAGACTCACCAGAAATTGCTGTTTAGATATTTTAAGAAGTTCTTAAATTAGTCATAGGGACAAAATGGAAACATAAAATGTGGCCATTTAACTTATGCCTAAGAAATGGACTTTACATTATTCATGATACACTGTCGAAACCCAATCTTGGAAGCAAACATTTTTTCCAGGGGTAAGCATGAATATAACATAAAACAAACTAAACACGAAACTTCATTTTCTTCTGATTATAACCAAGAATCTATTTAAATAAAATAAGAACTGATGGTAGAGTCTACCAAACTGTAGAAAATGGAAAACTTCTCTCCCAAACATGGGTAGTTTTATGTAAAAATATTGGCTTTTGAGTAGAAAGGAACTCATCTTGTTATTTGAGATGTTTAAAATTTTAAACTTTTTCTACCTTCTGCTATTTAAAGGTTTTAAACAGGGTGTATCTCATATTAAACCAAACACTTTTTCCAAATGGAGTACCAATGTAAAGATCTAATTTCCAGACGATTTCTGGGCACTGTAATTTCAACAATTCTGGAATCTTTTTGGCGCTGCTTCTCATTCATTTTAAAGCTTCTCCGAGTTGTGCTCATTCCAAACTAACCCGTTTTAGAATCTTTCTTCATCATCTAAATGGTGTGTTGCTGAATTTATTGTGATATATAATCCTGGATTAAAGTCAGGACTTTCTTTCTATAGAATTGTCTTATCAATGTTTGTGTAGTGAGATCCTTATCAAGAAACTCTTGAACAGGATAGCGTGTCTTAAAATGTTGCTGAAGTTAGTATTCTATTCTTGATCAGATAGAATTGAACCTGAATGTGAATGAATTGTTATTTACTTTTTGTACATTTTTATTGTAATGTTTCCAGTTGGGCTGGCTCTTTCTAGCCCATTAGTTCTTTTTCATGTTGACAGAGTGTAGACAATTACAAGAGAAAAACAAGGTTGGAATAAGCACTAGGATAGCCAACGTTATTCAGGAACACCAAAAGCTTTATCTCGATACTTTGGGTAAGCCGTGTACCAGGTTTAGTTTTGAGAAAACAAAAGGCAAAAGAATTCTGCAGTGAGGTTAAACATCAGAAGCATATGGGTTGAAGAAAGTGATTTGGTATTGGAAGTCTGTGCAAAAATACTTTCAGGGTATCAAGTTTGAATTGCAGGGGGCGAAAAGATGCTTGCTGTGCTAGCAAGCATCCTGATTCTGGGCAGCTTCCATATTACGGGTTTTGCTGTCCTTTCGTAAGGACTTACATTAAGCCTCTGGGTGTAAATCAGAAAGGCAACTGGAAGTGGCATTTATGTTTTCATGAGGGACATGCTTAGAAATGTGACCATAAAGTCACGTCTTATACAATCTGCTCATTTGCATGATCTAGCTTCATCTGTAATAATAAGGCCACAAACTGGACAAGAAGCTGAGTACTTGGGTTAAAAAGTGTTTTTGACTCTGCACTTGTATCAGTAGATCTAAATTTTGTTTTGCCTGACAGTATCTCCGTCCTGGGAATCTGAGAACTGGAAAACTGAAAGGAAAAAAATTTTCAAAATCCAAAATACCTTAATGTCAAACTGTTTTAGAGTGAAACTATTTTGTGTACTTTGTGTTTTTAAACTAATGATTCTGTAGATCACTGTGGTATTTCAATTTCATTTTGTTTTAATGGATGATGTTTGCTTTTAAAGCTGATAGGTAATGTTGGAAAGCAGGATGAAGCCCGAGCCAGTGGAAAAGCTTGCTACAGAAAAAAATATTTTGTGTTATTGCTGTGGTGTGCATGGTTTGCAGAGATTAAGTGCATTTTCTCTGTCTATACTGATTTATTGTATATAGGGGATGTTATAAATATACATTTTGGTCATCATCATGTAAATCCCATGATTTCAACTGTAAACATCTGTCCAGTGATGTAGCTTTACAAACCATTTACTGATTTTGTGTAATTTAACAATAGATATGAAATAAAGTTTAAATTACAGACGCTGAGTTATTTCGTTATTTCAAAGTTTGCAGCCACTAGACATCATGACATCACAGAGAGAATTCTCTTTTCTCAAGGAGTTTCTTATTTTCCTCTTGGCCACCAGATATGGAGATGAGATGAGCCACTCTAATGTAGCATGTGCCAATGACCTTAATCTTGGGTGCTTCCCTCTGAGGGTCCAGAGTGTGTTCTCTTTCTCTCTCTTTTTTTTTTTACTAGTTTAAATGATTTTATTAGTCATATAAAAATGTGCTCAAAATGTTAATCCTTGTCATTTGGAAGGTTACAGTTGCAATAAAAATTCCTATATTTCTGGTAGTTCACTGATTGAATATTGAGAAGTCACAGCAAATAACTGACAAATAGCAAGTGTGCATAATTTATTTCTTTCTTTACTTTCTGTCTCCTTTTAGTGCTGCTGTTGTTCAAGAAAGTATTTTGCTCAAGTGTATGACAATATTGGCCATTTTTGAATATGTGAAAATATAATTTTTAAAGCCAGTTATTGTCTATTATTTGATTCATTAAAGCTTCTGCTCAGCTTTCATATCAGTTCAGTTCAGTTCAGCTGCCCAGTCATGTCTGACTCTTTGCTACCCCATGGACTGTACCACACCAGGCTTCTCTGTCCATCACCAACTCCCCAAGCTTGCTCAAACTCATGTCCATTGAGTTGGTGATGCCATCCAACCATCTCATCCTCTGTCATCCCCTTCTTACTTTTTTTTTCATTTATTTTTATTAGTTGGAGGCTAATTACTTTACAATATTGTAGTGGTTTTTGCCATACATTGACGTGAATCAGCCATGGATTTACATGTGTTCCCCATCCCGATCCCCCCTCCCACCTCCCTCTCCATCCCATCCCTCTGGGTCTTCCTAGTGCACCAGCCCTGAGCACTTATCTCATGCATCCAACCTGGGCTGGTGATCTGTTTCACCCTTGATAGTACACTCGTTTTAATGCTATTCTCTCAGAACATCCCACCCTCGCTCTTTTGAATAAAACAAAGTTATCCATGAAAGACAAAGTTGGCTATGTGTTTTAGTCAGCTCTGGTTGCTATACCAAAATACCATAAACTGGGTGGCTTGTCAACAATGGAAATTTATTTTCTACAGTTCTGGAAGCCAAAAGTCTGAGATCAGTTGGCCAGTATGGTTGGGTTCTTATGACTCTCTTCCCAGTTTCAGAAGTCTGTCGTCTTGCTGTGTCCTCATATCACGGGAAGTAGCTAGCTAATTCTCTGGGTTTTTCTTATAAGGGCACTAGTCCCATTCATGAGGGCTCCCATGGATCACCTCCCAAAGGCCACACCTCCTAATACCATCACAGTGGGATTAGAGTTTCAACATATGAATCTGGTGGGGACATTCCGTCCCTTATGCTATGCAAATGAAATATGTGAGTGTTTTAATTTAAAAATTATTCAATGAAATACTTGCACATTTAAGAGCATGTGGGAAAGAAAAATAATACTTTTTTATTTTTTATCTTTTATATATCCCCTCTGTCTGGGATATAGGTTAAAGGTGAGCATTAAAGTATTGGCTTTAGGGAATGCAAATTAGTACAGCCACTATGGAAAACAATGTGGAGATTTCTTAAAAAGCTGGAAATAGAATTGCCACATGACCCAGCAATCCCACTTCTGGGCATACACACCGAGGAAACCAGATCTGAAAGAGACACGTGCACCCCAATGTTCATCGCAGCACTGTTTATAATAGCCAGGACATGGAAGCAACCTAGATGCCCATCAGCAGACGAATGGATGAGGAAGCTGTGGTACATATACACCATGGAATATTACTCAGCCATTAAAAAGAATTCATTTGAATCAGTTCTAATGAGATGGATGAAACTGGAGCCCATTATACAGAGCGAAGTAAGCCAGAAAGATAAAGACCATTACAGTATACTAACACATATATATGGAATTTAGGAAGATGGTAATGATAACCCTATATGCAAAACAGAAAAAGAGACACAGATGTATAGAACAGACTTGTGGACTCTGGGAGAGAAGGCGAGGGTGGGATGTTTCAAGAGAACAGCATCGAAACATGTATACTATCTAGGGTGAAACAGATCACCAGCCCAGGTTGGATGCATGAGACAAGTGCTCGGGCCTGGTGCACTGGGAAGACCCAGAGGGATTGGTTGGAGAGGGAGGTGGGAGGGGGGACCGGGATGGGGAATACATGTAAATCCATAGCTAATTCATTTCAATGTATGACAAAAACCACTGCAATGGTGTAAAGTAATTAGCCTCCAACTAATAAAAATAAATGGAAAAATAAATAAATAAAGTATTGGCTTTGCACCAGCCCTGAGCACTTGTCTCATGCATCCAACCTGGGCTGGTGATCTGTTTCATCCTTGATAGTATACTTGTTTCAATGCTGTTCTCTCAGAACATCCCACCCTCGCCTTCTCACTACAATATTATAAAGTAATTAGCCTCCAACTAATAAAAATAAGTGGGAAAAATAAAAAAAAAAAATAAACCACACAGTGCTTTTGCCAAAAAAAAAATAAAGTATTGTCTTTGAAAGTTATGATGACAATGTCTTCTAATTATATTCAATGTACATATTTTTCCAAAAAAAATTATGGTTATGACTATGAGTGGGGATGGTTTGTTCTTGTCTTTTTCAAAAGAGAATTTAGATGCCAGATCATGGGATTAGAGGAAAGAAAGCTACAGAATTTGAGGAGTTTAACTATACTCAGCCTACCAACTATTCATACTTACAAAGTCCTG